CATCCCCCTCTCCCCACGTCCCTGATGGCCCCCTCCTCAAGAGTGGTTGCCCCCCATCCCCACGTCGCCCTGCCCAACGTCCCCAATGTCCCCAGAAGGGCTTCACCTTCCCTGTCCTGACAACCCCATCCCCATGTCCATGATGGCCTCCAGCAGAACTATGTCCCTGTCCCCAATGTCCCCAGCCCCAGCAGAGCTTCACGTTCCCCATCCCCATGTCCTCATGTCCTTGATGTCCCTGTCCCCAATGTCCCCATCCCCAGCAGAGCTTCACATCCCCCATCCCCATGTCCTCATGTCCCTGACGTCCCTGTCCCCAATGTCCCCATCCCCAGCAGAGCTTCACATCCCCCATCCCCATGTCCTCATGTCCCTGACGTCCCTGTCCCCAATGTCCCCAGCTCCAGCAGAGCTTCACGTCCCTCATCCCTACGTCCCCGTGTCCCTGACGTCCCTGTCCCCAGTGTCCCCATCCCCAGCAGAGCTTCACGTCCCCCATCCCCATGTCCCTATGTCTCTGATGTCCACCAGCAGAGCTTCATGTCCCCCATCCCCATGTCCTCATGTCCCTGACATCCCCGTCCCCAATGTCCCCATCCCCAGCAGAGCTTCACATCCCCCATCCCCATGTCCTCATGTCCTTGATGTCCCTGTCCCCAATGTCCCCAGCCCCAGCAGAGCTTCACGTTCCCCAGCCCCATGTCCTCATGTCCTTGATGTCCCTGTCCCCAATGTCCCCAGCCCCAGCAGAGCTTCACGTTCCCCAGCCCCATGTCCTCATGTCCTTGATGTCCCTGTCCCCAATGTCCCCAGCCCCAGCAGAGCTTCACGTTCCCCAGCCCCATGTCCTCATGTCCTTGATGTCCCTGTCCCCAATGTCCCCAGCCCCAGCAGAGCTTCACGTTCCCCAGCCCCATGTCCTCATGTCCTTGATGTCCCTGTCCCCAATGTCCCCAGCCCCAGCAGAGCTTCACGTTCCCCAGCCCCATGTCCTCATGTCCTTGATGTCCCTGTCCCCAATGTCCCCAGCCCCAGCAGAGCTTCACGTTCCCCAGCCCCATGTCCTCATGTCCTTGATGTCCCTGTCCCCAATGTCCCCAGCCCCAGCAGAGCTTCACGTTCCCCAGCCCCATGTCCTCATGTCCTTGATGTCCCTGTCCCCAATGTCCCCAGCCCCAGCAGAGCTTCACGTTCCCCAGCCCCATGTCCTCATGTCCTTGATGTCCCTGTCCCCAATGTCCCCAGCCCCAGCAGAGCTTCACGTTCCCCAGCCCCATGTCCTCATGTCCTTGATGTCCCTGTCCCCAATGTCCCCAGCCCCAGCAGAGCTTCACGTTCCCCAGCCCCATGTCCTCATGTCCTTGATGTCCCTGTCCCCAATGTCCCCAGCCCCAGCAGAGCTTCACGTTCCCCAGCCCCATGTCCTCATGTCCTTGATGTCCCTGTCCGCTCAAGGTGGCACCAGGAAGGAGGTCCTGACCCATGGCTCAGCCCCACGGAGCCCCCATGACCACCCTTGGGTGCCCCACGATCCCCTACGGAGTCCAGTTGGATCCGTCATGGCACTTTGTGGGGCCTCACGGCTCGTGGTGGCACCAGGGAGGAGGTCCTGCCCCACGGCGCTGCCCCACGGAGCCCCCCCCCAGACCACCCCATGGATCCATCATGGCCATGTTGTGGGGGGCTCATGGTGGCACCAGGGAGGGGGGGGTCCTGCCCCCCAGCACCGCCCCATGGC